TTTTTTTTTTTTCCGGTTTCCCCCCCCCCCCCCCCCCCCCCCCCTCTCTTAACAATGCCGCCCCATCACTTCCAAGAAGTGCAGATCACATCCCAAGGCCTCACCACACACCTCACCAAATGTGCTAAAAATGGGTGGGGAACGTATCTTCCGCTAGAACGTGGAAATATACATCTGCCATAATGTTGTCTATTTTTTAATTTAAGACGCTTTTTCACATTTGGTGCGCAAATGTGCTAATTGGGGAACGTATCTTCCGCTAGAACCTGGAGAGAGACCCCCACCGCTAGAGTGTATCTTTCACATTTGGTTGCGTGGTGCGGTGCGGATCTCATATACACTTAGCAAGTTATACATATACATCTCCTCTGGACACCTCTTTGGCCCTTGACAGCAAGCGACGCATTTCAAAAACAGAAGATTAGCAAACCCCCCCCCCCCCGCACAGCATAAACCCATCCAAATTCAAGAGGAGGGGGGAAAAACTTCAAAAAAGACAAAAAAAACAGAGAGCGCTATCTACCTTATGGCAGCACTCCAATGCCGCACGCATCACATTGACATTGCCGATACACTCAAAACTGTAGTCAACTCCTCCATCTGTCAAGTCAACGATCACCTGCCAAAAATAGCATCACAAAGTTTCGGAAAGTTTCGGATAAGTTTCGGATAAGTTTCAGATAAGTTTCGGATAAGTTTCGGATAAGTTTCGGATAAGTTTCGGATAAGTTGCACAAAGTCGGACAAAGTTGCACAAAGTCGAAAAGTTGCAAAAAGCCGCAAGTTGCAAAAAGCCGCATAGAATTGCACAAAGTGACACAAAGGGCCTTTGCGCATGATTTTTGTCTTTTGTGCATGTCGACGGTAGTGGAGCGAGGACCAAAGTCTCACAAAGTTGCACAAGTCTCACAAAGTCTCACAAAGTCGCACAAAGTCTCACAAAGTCACAAACGATGAACAAGCAAGGAGTGGGACAAAGAGGGGTTTCAGACTTCTTTGTCCCACCCGTCTCTGTCCCATAGAGACGAGAAGAATCAGAGATGGCCACCAGAAAACTACAGATCAAAAATAGAGTAGCATGACAAGCTTCAGATCGTCATCTGCTGTTCATGCACTGTCCAAGTTCTTTCATTTCACTTGCACTTGAACGGCATTTTCTTTCTTTGAGAGTTTTTTTCACTTCTAGATAGCCAGGACGATAACAGGTTTATATTGTACTTGCAACCGCATCGTACGGCACGCCGCGTGCGGCGCGGCACCTTTTCGTGCGCCGTACCAACGGCAGTTTCCCTTTTTCTTGTTTTTTTAGCTGTTCTTGTAGATACAGAAGAGTGCAACACCTAAGGAACTGATCTTTTTCAAGTACAGTCGTGCATATTTTCCCCCCCTTCCAATTGGGCATGAGAAGTACCCTCTAAAAGGTGTCTGGGACATCAGTCTTGACCTTTATAGGTAGCGGCATTACTCTCCCACCAGTGCGTGTGTTTTTTTTCCCCATCCCACAACGAATCTTTAAAGGGGATGCATGTGACCATGGACCCAGCCATGCGATCCCCTTTTTTTTTTTTTCAAGTGGACATTTTCCCTGCACATGCCGTGCTCCGCACCGTGTGGGTCCGCTCTTACGCCAAACGTGCGGAATTTTCCACACGACGTCCGCTTGCAGGTATGGTTTTTATTACTTTTTTAAGGTCAGTATTATTAAGATTCACTGTTGGGGAACCCTCTCCTCCTGTCTTTGAGAGTTTGCTCTGTGAGATGGCCAGGATCATAACACACAGCAAAAAAAAGAAGGAAATAAGGGAGAGGTGACAGAGGTCCCTCAGCAGATCCGTCAAAAGTTGAAACTGGGACGATATAGAGAAGAAGATTAGCACGGCCCCCGCACGAGAACGACACACATAAATCGAAAAATGGTCCAAATTAAAGCAGGACCAAAAAAAAAAGGGACGAAAAAAAAAAAAAAAGGAAGAAAGAAAAAACAAAAAAAAACGGACCAAAAACACAGATCATGAGTACCTGTTGAATGGGTCTCCCTTCATAGTCCCTCGGGTTGACGAACTCTGTTGCGCCGAAGTCCTTCGCTGTATGCCAAATGTGAAACACACTCAGGTCAGGTCAGGTCAGGTCAGGTCAGGTCAGGTCAGGTTGAAAGCAAGAGCACAATTGATAAACCAATTTTGAATTATTAATTAATATATGAATATTATTATCTATTCAGCGGTGGAACAAAGTAGCTTTGGGCCTCGGAGCCAAAGCCAAGGCAATTAATTATTTAAGGGCGGGGGAGGAAGGGGAGCCTGCGTCAACAGGGCAATAGGACGTTATAGTGTTTGTTAGCGATTTTGTTCCGATTGTGGGGTTTCATTCCAAATTCATGACTGCATTCTGCTCATTCCTTCCTTGACCCGCTACCTACCTGCGTACCCTACTTGCCTGGCGACCTACCTACCTACCTACCAACCTCCCTCCCTCCCTTCTTTGCTGCCCTCACTCCCTCCCTTCTGTTCCTCTTCTGCCTCTTCCTTCCCTGTTCCTCCTCTCCTTCCTCTTCCTTCTTCTCTTCTCCTCGTCTTCTTCCTTCTTCCTCCTGTCCCTCCACTGTGTCCTTCCAACATTCCATCCCTGCATACTTTCTTCCACTCTGCTCAGTTCTTTCTACCTTTGTTTTCCCTTCCTTCCCTTCCTTCCCCTCCTTCCCCTCCTTCCCTTCCTTCCCCTCCTTCCCCTCCTTCCCTCCTGCCTGACCTCCCTCCCTCCCTCTCTCCCTCCGTCCAGCTCTCCCTCCCTCCATCCTCTATTCCGCTCCCTCATTCCTTCCTCCCCTGCTTCCCTCTCTACCTTCCTTTCATCCCTCCCTTCCTCCCTCACTCCCACCGTTTTGCTCCCTCATTCCTTCCTCCCCTCCTTCCTTCCCTCCCTTCCTCCCTCCCTCCCACCATTTTGCTCCCTCATTCCTTCCTCCCCTCCTTCCCTCCCTCCCTTCCTTCCTTTCATCCCTCCCTTCCTCCCTTCCAAGTTCCTTCCCTCCCTTCCTCCCTCCCTCCGGCCC